AGACAAATCTATTTAAAAACTAATTTTTAATCTATCATTAAACTTTATTTTTAATAAACTAAATTTTGATCTATCATTGAACATTATTTAACACTGTAGTTCTAACAGTCATAGCATTTTTTGTAATATAGTGCTAATTTACATAGCTCATTTCTATTATTACTTTGCAGCAATGCAATAAATTTGTACATACTTGGGTTAACAAAATAATATCTTTTAATATAAAGGGTACGAATACTTGTATAACATGGACATATAAGAACAAAATGAAATTCATCTTCTAAGTCTCTTAAAGAACAACATTGACAATACCGTTCATTTCTTTGTATTCTATTTCTGGCATATCTACCAGTTTGTATTCTTAAGCTGTGTGCAGAAGTTCTTAATCTAGTGATAAGCCGTCTCAAATGATCAGGCAATATATCTAAATAATTTTCGTAACAAAAACTAATTTTACACACATTATATAATTCCAATACAGAACTTGTTTCTTTAGATACATGCCACCCCTGTATAAAACAATCAATTATCCGTTGTCTAAATATCGGGATAAAGTTTTTAAATACAATATCATGTGGGTTATTCCAAACATCTGAAAAACCATAATCACACAAAAGCTTTTTAACATAGGCTACCCAGTTACATAATCCTTTATTACAATCATTTAATGATAGCTGGTAAACTGAGCGTAAAATAATATTGTCTGTGTGCAGCAACTTAAACCAATATTTAACAATGCGTACATAACGGGATATGAACAAAGGATATCTTCCCAACTTTCCATATACACTAACAGTACATGTAGTATTTCTTACTGACAATATATTTTTACAAAATTTTAAATGTATTCTTTCAATTTGTTTTGATTTTGTAAATCCCCATATTTCTGACGAATAACTCAAAATTGAGCCAACAAAAGAATCAAATAGCTGACATAATAACTTTGGTTTAAAACTATACTTTTTACTATTTAAAAGCAAAAATTTAAGCGCCTTTAAAGCTTTACCTGCAATGTATTCCTGATTCAAAGTAAAATTTCCGGTGTAATTGAAAACTTTTCCTAGACAATTAAAATCATTCACAACTTCAATATCATTACCATCATATGTCCAAAACTCATTTCCTAGTAAACCGCCTCTTTTCCTAAATACAACAATTTTAGTTTTATCTGTATTTACTTCTAATCCCCAACTTTTACAATATTCATATAATTTATCTAAATGCATTTGTAATTCTTGAGGCGATTTTCCTAATATAACCATATCATCAGCAAATAATAGTAAAAGTAAGATAATTTCTTCTATATCAAGTCCAGAACTAATGTTATCTTGTAAAAATAATTCTAGGTCTTCTACGAACAGAGAAAAAAGTAGTGGCGACATTATCTCCCCTTGTCTTAAACCTACAGCATACTCAAAATAAGAGGAATAATCGTTACATGATCTAGCACAGGATTTAACTTTTGTATACATGTCCTTAATAATTCGTAATAATTTACCTTATATTCCTAATCTATACAATTTTAACCATAGTGCATTTCTATATATAGTATCAAAACATTTTTTTAAATCAACAAATACACAATATAATCTTTTATTTTCATTTAAATAGTGTTGCACAACATTCAACAGTATAAATAATGCATCTACAGTTGATTTACCCTTTCTAAAACCAAACTGCGCGTCAGATATAACATTGTTATTTTCACAAAAAGACGTGACACGCTTATTTAGAACTATTGTAAATATTCTTAGAAAAACAACTAACTAATGTAATACCCCTATAAACGTCATTCTTATCACCCTTTTTATGTAAAGGTATAATTACACCTTCCATCCATTTATCTGGAAAATACCCAGAATCTAAAATAGCATTAAAAATATCACAAATATGCGACCCTAAAATATCAATACTTTCAGTCAAATATTCATTCAAGATAAAATCACTACCAAAAGCCACCCTTTTTTAGTTCTTTGGCAGCATTATAAATTTCTTGTACAGTTATAGTTTTATCTAATTCTTCAAAACAACAATCTAAATTATTAAAATCATGGCTACTACAAAAACTTTCTGCGTCAAGATTCCTTTCCTGTAACACATCACTTCCTAGGGATGAGAAATGGGAACAAAATTCTTCAACAGATAAGTCGTTTGAAGATTAACTTTTCTTTTTAAAATAGCTCCAAAATACTTTAGGTTTTGCATGATTTAAATTTCCAATATCATTCATTTTCTTTTGTTTAAAAATACCCTTCTTTTTTCTACATAAATCTTTATACTGCTTTTTTAAATTACAAAACATTTCCCTATTCTGATCCGACTTAAACCTGTTAAAATCGTGTTAAGCATGTAGATACTGAATTCTTGCCCTTGAACATTCAATATCAGACCAGTCAGCCTGTTTTAAAACAGACTGTTCACTAAAATAAGGCTCATTCTTAAACACATATGATTTAGAAAATCAAGAAAGAAAAACAGAACAAACTCACGCACGCACGATTAAAATAAAACTCTGACTTATTTACTGGTTCTTTTAACTGTAAACATTTTACAATTCCAGATATCCTTGGGTATCTTTAACGTCGCGCACGAAATTCTGGAAATTGGAAGCATTTAATTTTGCTCCGAACGTAGTCACTTTGGTCTATATAAAGACTATTTACGTATAAGAAAGAATGCGCTGCATAATCAATGCGACGAGATAAGAATTAAATTCAAAAATAAATCTGTTTGGAAGGGATTATGAAATCGAAAATTTAAGAAAATTATTTGAATAGTATCTATTAGGACAAAAACTTGATTACGAATGTATTTTGTTAATATTTGTTTAAGAACTATGTTCAATCGAATATTACAATTCAACACAAAGAAGAGTTATCTTTTGACAGAGTTTTATATTTTCATCGTTTAATGATTAACTCATAATGGAGAAAGGCATCAGCTGTCTGATAAGTTTAATTTATATTTCCTGTAAAAACCGTGTCTGTAATAGTTGTGACCACAAGTTTGTAGGAAAAGCTTCCAATAGGCAATGGTGTTGTAGAAATCCATTTGCAAGTAATTGTCCATCCATTTGCCGCACAGTAATGTTGAAAATCTAGGGCTACTGTTCGAGAGGATGAGTCCTTGAATGGAATAAAAAAAAAATCATCGCATATTTAGTATTATTTATTGTAACATGATTAAAGAGTAACAACAACAACGCAGACAACGACAGCAACTGTAGCAGTCATATTGTATGGAACGCCGCAGCTGCCTTTCCATAACATCGACACTGTAAATGTCATGTGACGACTTTTCAGTGGAAGACAAAAGATGCCACTCTGTATATTATTTCATTCACGAGCAGGTACCTGAGTAGAACCACCGATCTTCCGCAAATACCGTCGCTCTTCGGGTAGAGATTAATGATTATTTTGAGATTTTTAATTTAGGGTAACATAGGACTTGTCTATCTAAAGACATACTTTAAAAGTTTCATACCATTAACGTTAAGCTAATCTTTGGGATAGGATGCACGTCTGCCAGTATAATTTCTAAATGCTGATCGTCTGCACGGCTGACAATGAGGTTGATTGGTTTGCCTGGAATACAGAAACACCATCATCTATATATAGAGTTAATGTTTACAAGGAAAAGTGGAATATTTAGCATTATTGCAATAACACATGAACGTAAACAGAAACAGTTAGAATGTACAGAGGGTGAGAGGCTTCATTATTAAGGTCGATTTACTGCTACTTTTATGAATGTAACAACTTAAAAATCTTTGCATCGTGATTAACACATTTATTTAAGTCCGCTTTTATACCAAATTAAACCTGCTTGAAGGAAATATGCTAACACATTATTGACACATGCCTAAGATTTCATTCGAGTGCACTACCAGACAGTTACGACCATTTGTTCATATTTGACTATTACCAGTATTAAGTTTATTAAACGTTAGACCAACTTTTTAATAATGATCAATCTGCAATCTTCCATGGCTGGCCGTTATAGTCAGATTCAAGTAAGTCACATCATGTAGAAATGATGGATGAAAAATCATCTGTACTTATACTGCATGTTCGTATTAAAAGTCAATTTTAAGTGTTCTATCGGTACCTCACATAAACGGCTGCTACAAATTTATTAATCATTTTCGATTTTGTAATAAATTTGCATTATCAATTTGTTGTAATTTTGGTTTGAGTTATGCATGCTTTTGACTAATACTGCTATGTTATAATGCAACTTTTCATTGGATAACGGTCACTTTTTATTGGATAACGGTCACTTTTCATTGGATAACGATCATTTTTCATTGGATAACGGTCACTTTTCATAGATAATGGTGACGTTTCTATAATCTTTACTCACAGCAGCTGTAAAAAGACTTTATATGTAATACTACGTAAGCATACACTCAACATCCACATATCTCTGTTTAGCTTCATAACTTCCAACACTGCATTTGTACCAACCCCGTGCCATGTTATTTGCATATTCAGTAATCAACGAGAATGAAGAGCCATTAATTTTCTTCTCTCTTACAGATCCAGGAGTGGGGCCAGTTTGTGTTCCATTTACAATAAACGTTTGCCAAGAATCTCCAAATTTTCGACTCCAAGTCCATGTAGCTAGTGGTAGATCAGTATAATAACACGTGATAATAGTATCACCTCTACAATCACCAGCTACAGGAACATCTAGCCATACCCTGGGATCAGCTGAAATATTTAAACAAAAAAAGAACAATTCAAAGTTTTCAGGGAGGCAGCTATTACGCGACATATTTGCTGAAAGGTCTTAACGAAAGTTCACATTTCTGTTACAAGGATAACGGTTAAAACGATTGCCGTATATGCCCAAGAAACGCTGAGGAAGCCTTATTAGAATCAAGTACATACATGTTTGTACATACTTATTAGTAATAAAGACAATTTACAATAGATGAATATCTTTATAAAACTTTCATAAAATGCGGCTACCTGTATTCATGTTGAAGCTCAGTTAAATACTCGAAGCTAAAACGACCACGTACTTCAAAATAATTTTAAGGCCCATTTTGTCTTAGAATCGCTTTTTTATATTAGTTTGGTAACATGTTATAGTTTCCAAAGAATTACTTTTGGCCAATTACCTGAACCATTGTTTGCTTCTGTTGCTTCTCAACAATTATTATTTAGTATTTTGTATGGAAGTCAAATTAGTACCTTGTTTAAATTTTCTTACTTTACTGACAATAATTTTGCATTCAGCGCTACTTTCGTTATGTGATAAGCATCTAACATACTCTCAAACCATTATTTACACGCTATAGAACGATCTCGTATTTGCTCTTTTTAAAGTAGGACAAATTCAATTTTTAGAATTTTAGAATGTATCTGCTTAATTCTATTTGCTGCTATTTAATTGCAACAAAACGTTAAAGAGTAACACACTTAAACCATATAAAAATAGCATATAATCGCAAAATAAAGCATGACAGGAAATATACACGCCATAATACTAGAAATAGAAATACAAACAGCATTGCATCATATAAGTTTAAACTAAAATTTCTTACCTGTAACAAAAGAAATAGCAGCTGATAGCATGAGCAGCATAACATCTCTATATAGGCCCATTGAACACATTATCAGATAGTTTGAAATATGATTGCAGCCTAATTTAAACAAAAAAAAAAAACTGTTTCTATATCAAAGGAGTACTTGTACTCAATGATAGTGATCTTATCTACGAAAGCTATTAATAGAATAAAACATGTTGACTTATCTAATATTACTTTAATACCGCCTTTGCATACTTACTGTAGTACAACTGAGCCATGCATATTAAAAGAATATGTGTCAATCCGAAAAACCTTTAAATGTCAGCAAAAAACTTTATAAAACTATTCGAAAACGATGACATAAGAAAGTGACACTGTCAACGTCATCTGTATCGTAGGTATCTATTAGAGAAAATAGACATAACTCTCGTCGTTCTTCGCAGAATAAAATACTACAATTCGTAATAACATACCACCTGGAAACGCCAAAACACGATCGCCATGACTGGTAAAGACTGGCGAAATATTGAGTTGTTAAAAGAGCTGAACAATGTGTTTACTTTCGAAAGCCTCCATGCCGTACAACAGCATGTCAAATCTGCGCTGTCACAAAGTTAACCAATTCTTGCTCCTCTGGCATAGTGGTAGAATTTCTCCTTCAAGACAAAGTGAATGGCAAAACAACAACAATTTGCAAAAGACAAAAACTATTCAAGAAACAAAAAAACAGGCATTCCCCTTGAACGAAGTTTACTAGCATTTATTTGGCGGAACCAAATGGTCCTTCAACGATTTTTACTAGCATTTATTAAATGAAACAGGCGTCCGCGACCGAGTGGTTAAGTTCCTTGATTTCAACCTCCTTGCTCTTCATTGCTATGGGTTTGCATTTTCTATAATGTACGAACTTTATGCTAACATTTTGATCCAAAACCCATGAACACTATTAATTCTTTGTTATAGTTTCCTTGGTTAAAATATTTTCGTCATCCACTGTGACGTTTCGTTTCGCATGATAAAAAGTCGTGTTTTTAACAGCGTGATTTTATCATTTCGACTTTTCCCCATCCTACTTTTGACTTTTCATCATCGTACCTTTGACCTTTTACCATCGTAGTTTCATTCTTTTGACTTTTCTTCAACATTGTAATTTTATATTTTGTTTTGTTTCGAGTTATGTGTGTGTCGCGATGGCCCTAACGAGATATAGTACCAAAAAAAATATTATCTCGGAGTTGTTTCAATTCTATTACGCTCCAATGAATCGGCTAAAAACGTTAGCGATAGCGACGATGATATGAAGATTCGTCGTGCTGAAATGCAAGCTTTTGCGAAGAAACTTTTTCGTTCGGGTTTGAAAGCTGCAACATCCACAGCCAGTTTCTTGGAGTCGTCACGTGGTACAGGTTCTGCTAATGACTCTTCAAACTCTTTAAAGTCTCAATACAGGCAAATTTCAATATGTGTTACTTGAGCAAAAAAGAAAATGTCAGCAGTGTATGAAACTTGCTAGATATGTAACAACAATTGTCTAGTTAAAGTAGCTTGGTCGAAGTGCAATTTTATTGAAATTACTATCGCCTTTCCATTTTGTGACGTTTATGTTTGCTGACAAAAAAAAAAATTTGTACGAAAAACAACCAAATTTTCTTCTTGTTTTTAAGCATGATTAATAACTTCATAAAGAATTGTAAACAGACGCATGTAAAGAAAATGACATCAGGCGTTCAATGCGTACGCTGCGCGAACAAATACAGCTGAGAATAAAGAAATATGCCATATGGAACAAAAAGCAACTATATTTTTATGTAAATTTAGTAATTTACGGAAGTTCAATCATAAATTAATACATAGGCTACAAGATGGTATGCAAAGCAATACATTTTGTATTACCCACACTATGAGTGATATACTGTGAGTGATTTGTATTTCATTTCACCTATTAAAACCCAGAACTTCATTTGTAAGCAAAAACTATTGCAGCAATTTGACAGAGTATATGCTAAATAACTGCTAAATATTGACAAATTAAAAAATACGGTTCATAAATGAAATTTAGTCAATAATATTAGTGTGAAGCAACAGTTATGTTTGAAACGGTAGCTCACTGGGTGTTGGATTGCAGAGGTAGCACGTTCGATTCTACAAGTAACTGAACATCTTTAATACATTTTCTCTCGTTTTGCTTATCATTTTAGAATATCATAATGTTAGAAATAACGGTTAATTGAGGATTCACCATAAACGCTGTATTAAGAACATTACTATCAAATCGGCATTTGCAATTATTCATTATTTACCAAATTCATTATTAGCCAAATTCATGGTAGAATTCATTTTGAACAGGAAAATTAAAAAAGGTTCTTTAAACATGAAGCGGATGTTAAGCAGAACATATATAGCGAACCAGGCGGTCTTGAGCTAGATACTGCACAAAAGAGTGTTGCGTTGTAAATCTTTATACAAATAAAGATATTTCTATATATATCGTCGTTTTTTGGTCTGTACATGATACAGACACTGTCGAGGATCTGTCGATGTTTTATATGTTCTATTCACTGACCATTTAACCCTTTCACTGCCATAGGCACGGCATATGCCGTCCCTATCATTTTCGGCGTATTTGCCATATTGACGGCATTTGCCGTTTCTATAATAATAATAATAATAATAATAATAATAATAATCATAAATAAATAGATAATTATACCATCGAAAATAATGTTTATATACTAGCAGATTTAGAAACATATACAATTATTAAAATACTAATAACAAATGATCATAATTATATTAATTAATAATATAGTTATTTCTTAGAAAACCTTCTGGCAAATAGATGATCAATAAATATATAACACTCTGGCAGCGAAAGGGTTCTATATACAGTTGACATGCTAATAAAACTAGGACATATTACATTTTACTCAAAGTTTTACTATTTAATGTTATTCTGACAAATTTCATTCAGACTATTATTCCTTTCCTCTTGCAGAAAGTGGGTTATTCTGAAGTACATCTTTATTCTCTGTTTTATATTTACAAGAATACAAAAATCATATTTTGGTAATATCTGACCTTGTAAAAAAATCCGTATTTAAGTAAAATCGAACATACAAAAGTCCCGTATATTACGAGTGTTCGGATCATCGGTGTATTAGTCATATACGTATTGCATGTTATACAGTCCTGTACATCTACGTATTTCAAATTTCACTTATTTTTACTTGTCTATCTATAATATACGGAATATCGTACCCTTTATTGTATCCGTGGTCATAATGGCTTAAAATGCCGTTTATAGCGGGCGATCTTTTTTAATGAGAAACAAAATAACAAACGCCCCGTGATAGCGTGACTTTTATCTAAAGGGGTGGGGGAAATAAAATCACGTGTACCGAAAAAATTGAGTCGGTGACCCCCTATGTCGTTTTGACTAAGTATACATTTTAAAAGACGTTTAAAGAAAAAAATCAAAAATTTAATTCAGAAGTCGCTTTAAAGCCGAAAAATACGGCTAAACTGAACGTCAAATTATACAAATTGACAGTTTTCTTTCCATTTTCCAAATATTTTTCGGCGTAAAACGGTAAATGTTATATCAGCTTAAAGGCAAACATAATCTCCGTCGAATGCTATAGAATTTAAGATATTTTGTCCGCCTATTGCGTTGTGATACCCTTAGCAGCTGCCAAGGATTCGCAACGACGCCATGATAAAAAAACGGACTTTGAAGGTCAACTTTGTCGCCGTGCGTACAAAAATTGGCTTAAAATAACTATTGGAATAAAAGGGAATCTAATCAGAAATATTATCAGCTTTTTGCCTGCCAAATTTCAAGACGCTGCTTGAAAGTTCGCAAAGTGTCGCGTTCTACCTAAACGTCGCGCACGAAATTGATTTAAATTGAGACTTTGGTCTAAATAAAGACTACTGATAAGAAAGAATGCGCTGCATAGCCGTTGCGTCGAGATAAGAGTTGCAGTGTAAGACCAATGCCATATATATCTGTAGTTAAAAAATAAATTTATTTTGAAAGGATTATGAAATCAAAAAATTCTTTGAGTAGTATCTATTAGAAAAAAAACTTGATTGCGAATGCATTTTGTTAACAGTAGTTAAATGACTACTTTCGATTCGACAACAAGAACTGTGATCTTTTTGACAAGGATTTAAATTTTCATTCATTGCAAATAATCCTTTAATGATTAACTCATACAAGAGCAACACATCATGCGTCTGATAAGTTAAATTTGTATTCCCTGTAAAAACCGTGTCTGTTATAGTTGTGACAACCAGTTTGTAGGAATAGTTTCCAATAGGCAGTGGTGTTGTAGAAATCCATCTGCACGTAAGTGCCCACCCATTTCCCCCACAGTATTGTTGAAAATCTAGGACTACTGGCTGGTAGGACGAGTCCTTGAATTGAATAAAAGAAAACAGTGGCTTTTACTTGTCATTTCATATTACGATTTATCTATTATGTCAATAAGTAGTACATGCCTTGTAACATGAATTGAGAGCAACAACGAAGACAACGACAGCGCCTGCAGCTGTCACATAGACTCTGTAAATGTCTCGTGACGTTTAATAAGTTTCCTTAGTGGAGGAAGACGAATGATGCCCCTCCGTACACATTTACATACATACTTCATCCACAAGCGGGTGCCTGAGTAGAACCACCGACTTTCCGTAAATAAGGTTGCTCTTCACGTAGTGTTTAAAGATTATTGTTAGATTTTTGCTTTGGGTTAACATAGGACATGTCTACATTCTGATATAATTTAAAAGTTTCATACCATCATTGTGAAGCTCATCTTTGGGATAGGATGGACGTAAGCCAGTAAAATTTCTAAACGCTGATCCAATAAACGACTGAACAGGACGCTGTTTGGTTTGCCTGAAATGCAAAACCATCATCATCTTAAAAGAGTTATGCCACAGTAAAGTTGCCTGTAGGAAATAAGTTCAAAACGTTATTTTATTGGAATCAAGATCACACCTACACCATCTGTCGATAGGAACTCCCACATTTGAATATTACAAATATTAAGTTAATCAAAGATTAGACACCAACTTGCTGATGATGAAAACTCTTCAGTCATTATATTCAGACCGTTAATTTAAGTCGCATCATTTTCAAAAATCTAAAAATCTGTTGTACTTTATAC